TCATTCCTTCTTCGCCGACTCCGTCCACACCTTTGGGGACCCCTGGACCTGCTGGGGTTGGACCCCAGCTTCTGGCGCCCGAACAGGGACCCCTTAGTATAGTGTACATCTTGATGTAACGAACCAGAAGGAACTGAATGAGTGGTCCTATTTGAATCAATGTTTAATCTACAAACTGGAAGAATTTTCTTCAACAACAACAAAAATACCATCCCACCAACAACGAGGGTGCTGCCTTTTAAAGGACATATCATAGCCTGGGACAAGATATAAATAGGTAACTTATAGCAATTTTTTTCACAGATATGTTTGCTTTTATCTATGCACAACTGTAATCTGAGCATTCCCCAACAATCTCCAATCACCTTCTGACTCTTGGCCATGCCAGATGTTGGGGAACAGCTTGAAAGGCAAGCTTGTAGCTCCCTGAAGACTGAAATTCCCTGTAACCCTAAGGTATATCATCTGATGTCAAAACAAAGCCTTCTAGACTTGTTCTGCTATAGTCTTTTATCTCTTCAGTTGCCTGACCAGCTCCGCCCTGAATGAGATCTCAACTTTGAAAAGGATGTTTTGAGTACCTTTACTCTTGTGTAGACAATGGCGATTCAGAGAGCTCTAGTCTTTCAAAAGCAACAGCTTTTTTAAACTCAACTAACCTTTGCCTTTCAGTCTTACAACATGGTCCTGCCACTAGGTCATGGCTGAGGGCTGAGAAAACAGGAATAATTGGGATTAGAAGGAAGAATTCTTTGGCCAATTATTTTTAAAAATGTCAGTGGGACCTTAACATGACTATATGGCTTCTTATTACACAGTCATTGAAATGGCAATAAACAGAGCTACAGCTAAGAGGCACTCACAGGTCTAGTAAATCTTACTGTATTAATTTCTGCTGGAAATATAGAATCAGTTACATTCAACATGAATGTATTTATAATTCATAAAGCTCTTCAAACTTGAATATCCACATGGAAAATAAAATTTTCTACTGAAAACAAAACAAAAAATAAAATAAAAT